GCCTGGCCGCCTGCCTGCCATCCGACCAGACGACCGGACCTGCCGGCCGGCCGGCCCTTTGGCCGTTGTCGACGACGAGTGCCCACACAACAAAGACACTGCCAGTCACTTTGCTACACTTCGTTCGTCGTTCGACGTTCGTTGTTCGTTCGCTGGTTGGTTCGTTACAACAACGTGCCTCGCCAGTTGTGTACCTCGCAACCTCGCTTCTTTCGCGCTATGGAGACCGGCGCCGAAATTCTCTGAAAAACGGCCGGCCATGATGCTCTCTGTGGTTCACACCTAAACACACGACCACAAGTGTTACGACAGCATTCTCCTGGCATTTCTACACGTTTAATTAAAATGACAACTAACTAACCGTTCGCTAACAAATGCTGAATAATATTGCAGTTTATTTTCACTGTTATGACAGAATATGGCATCCAGCAACGCAGTGATTGATTCCGTCCGTCACCAGGTTGGTCAAAATTAATGTTAATCGAGGTTTTCGTTCCCACCTTTCCGAAACGTTACACAGTTAGGATTGCATGTTACCGGTATCAGAAACGAAACCAGTTCGTTCTTTAGCAACATCATCAACATTTAGTTGTCCTAAACAAGGAACAACAAAATGTTCAGTTCATCAAGCACTGACCTAGAATCAAGTCTTTAAGAAAATGCAAACAGCAGGAACTGTTATGCTTCAGGGGTGAATTTACAGCATCGACATTTTCTTAATGCATATTTTCCAGCATTTCGCATCAACGGCTGGATTCGACCTCGTTCCTCAGAGGAAAAATGACTATGTCTAATGACGGTCTCATCCAGGCGAAAGCGACCCGTTCCCTTGAAGAAAAAAGGACTTCAGTATCGCCGCTGTGTTGCGGTTAAACGTAGGTTCGTTAACGGCTAAACGAAAAAAACCGGATAAAAAACCCGACGGAACTGGGGGTCCCCTCTGTACAAGACACCCCAGACACAGTCAGCCCTGTCAACCGGTGGCAAAACTTTTTGTGCTATGATAATAAGAATAAATCGGCTTCAAAAACCTTGGAAGTGTGTCGACCCGTTCCGCGGAGGCGGTTCAGTGTACCAATGACGACAAGCCGTTAAGAATGCCCGAGTGAAAGGCCGCCATCTGATAAACATGAATGTTGAA